AGGAAGAGTGTCCTTGCCCATGGGGTGAAGCAGGAGTGGGAACATGGTGCCTGAGACACCGCTCTTGGTGTTCACCAGCCTCCCTCAGCTTGAATTGTCTTCCATCAGTATTTACATTCTAATTGTCTAAATGTTTCTCAACCTTGGCAACTTTAAGATGTGTGGACTTCAGCTGCCAGAATGCTAGAGAGGAAGAGTGACACATTTGTGCTGTTGAGTTGGTCCACACATCTTAAAGTTGCCAAGGTTGAGAAACATTTAGACAATTAGAATGTAAATACTGATGGAAGACAATTCAAGCTGAGGGAGGCTGGTGAACACCAAGAGCGGTGTCTCAGGCACCATGTTCCCACTCCTGCTTCACCCCATGGGCAAGGACACTCTTCCTAAATCAAGCTGAACCAAGTTGGCTCACTACTTTCTCTATCCTGCATGATGCACATACTTTTGTGATAACTTCTTCAGGAGAACGATGGCTTTACAGGTAGTCCCCAGTTTAAGAACAAGTTCTGTTCCCAAGGTCTGTCCTTAAGTCGATTTGTACGTCAGCTGGAACAGTATTATTGTATAGTATTGTGTAATGAACTCAAACCATTGTGTAATGAACTCAAACCATTGTGTAATGAACTCGAATCACTGAGTCTTTAACTTGAATTCTTCTACAATAGGTTCTATTCTTAACTATGGGTCATCCTTAAACTGGGCGTCCTTAACTCAGGGACTATCTGCATTTGAAGACTGCAAATACTTTTTGTTCCTTTTTTTCTCTCTCTCTCTCTCTCTCTCTAGTGAACTCCAGAAAGACCTGAAGTGCTGGGAACAGCACAAATGTGTCACTCTTCCTCTCTAGCATTCTGGGAGTTGAAGTCCACACATCTTAAACTTCTCAAGGTTGAGAAACATTGCCCTGCAGATTCAACAAATCCACAATTGGGACCCAATGTACCAGGAACATACTGGGAATGGACTGAAACAGGTAAAAGGACAAATTTTCCCATTAAGAAAGCGCCTCCCAAATATCTGCAATTTTGACTCAGTACATCTCCATCCAGACCTTTCCCAAACCTAACAGCATAAGCAATATATTGACCGTCTACCCGACTGTTGTTCCTGGATGTGAATGCAATAGACAAAACCCCTTTGTTACAGTTTGGTAATGCAGCAGCTTCCCTTTCTGGCTCATAGGGATCAGGTCATGTTAAAACTCAACTTGACCACAAGCCAGCTTGATTACTACCACAGATTCTGCATGGGGCTGCCCTTGGAAACTGGTGCAAATGCAGAATGGCTCTCCAGTGGGTTCCTTTTAGATGGGGTCCCACACATTATGGGTAACTATTCCCCACATTGTTCTAGGCTTAATTCCAGGAGGGACCAGGGATGGGCAATTGAAGACGATTGTTCTCAGCCTTTGCAACATTTTTGTGCATCGCTCACAGCCTTCTCTGTCTATAGTGCTGCAATTCGGCATTTAATTGGATGAAAACAGCCATCCTCTTATCCACCTTTTGAGCCAAGAAAACACGCCAATCTGAGGGTATCCACCCTCAAATAAGCTAACCTGGTTAAAAACCAAAAAGCCGCCACTACATTTTGGGGAATTTCCATCAGCAGGAGAACAGGAACAAATAAGCCAATTAAAAAAACTGCAAGCTATAAAACGGCCCCAACTCCACAGCTATGGGATTTTCTGTCCTATTCTAAGAACTCTCAGCAAGAGAAATTTTTTTTTTTTTAAGTGAGGGTTTGAAGAGCAAATTAAGTCTTAGACACTTTGCAACCTTTGTGTGGGGGGAAAAAATGGAAACGATGCCTTAATTCAAAGCTGATCTCACTTTTTTAACTAACGGTTGTTTGTTGACGCGGCTGTTTTACCTCCTGCTTAACTCAAGGTGTCTCCGGTCTCGCTGCTCCTGATTTGCTAGACAGGTAGCAAATCCTGCTGATGCAGGCAAATGCCTTCTGCTCCAGCTGATGCCAAGGAAGAGGGTCAACAGTGGCATCTCATTTATTTTATGAGGATCGCTTTGCGTTCTCTCTCTCCCCTTTC